AAACCATCCTTTCATAACTTAAACATAAGAAATGTTATTTTTAAACTACTGGCCACTTTGGAAAGTGCAAATTTTCCATTAAAAGATAAAAATTAAAAGGGCCATCACATTTCTTAGGGATATTATGTATGTGTGTGCATGTATGTATGTTTGCAATATCTTAACCTTAACTAACAATATCTCAGTCACCCAAAAAAATTTCTTTTCTATTTTTTAAAATATGCTTTTATTTCACAGAGAAGAAGGGAGAGGGAGAGAGAGACAGAAACATCGGAGAGAGAGAAATATTGACCAGCTGCCTACTGTACACCTCGTATTGGGGATTGAGCCTGCAACCCTGGCATGTGCCCTGACCTCCTGGTACATGGGACTATGCTCAACTGAGCCATACCAGTGGGACAAAAAAATGTATTCTAATGACCAATGCATAATTGTGCAGGTGATAACAATACAGAAACCCTACGGTAACTTTTTCATACACAAAGTAAACTACCTAATTTAGATTTAAAAAATAAGTATATCAATTCATGTTAGCTTCCCCTTTTAGGAAAACTCAACATCTTTTCAGGAGGAAATTAGTAAGGCATATCTTTAACCTTCAGTCAGAATGAAAAAAAAAAAGAGTACCATTCTATTGCATTACAGAAAGGAATTCAAGTTTACAGTATAGCACAGCAATAGATTTCTCACCACAATCAAACTGAATACTACATCCTAATGTATCAGGATCCTGCAGAAATCATAAACACGAAGATAGCTTAAACTTACATAATTACAATAACCAAATAAAGGCTTTAAATTTATGTATGTAGAAGTGTTATAAAAATGTCTTTCTCAAAGTCCACACTGCAGCTTTATGCAAATAGACTGTATTTGGAAGGGGGGGGGCAGATGGCAGGGAGGCGGAAACTGTCAACTTTTTCTATCAAAATCCTCAAAAGTCAACATTTACTTTTTCCAAACATATTTAAAAAAATAGTCTAGGAAACCCAATCCATAAGTTTCTTCAGTTTCAAAAGAAATGTGGTTCACCTAGCCAAAATAGAGAAAAGGTAAGAATCTAGCAGAGGCACCAAGGATGAAGAGTCAAACATAGATTGTCACTACTGATTACTTAATGTGAAAGCAAGAAAGTCAAACTTGTTTTTATAAAATAAGAAACAAATTAGGAGGTTATTAGTACTACTAGTGACCCCTTGTGCGAAATCGCACGAAACCCCGGACCCCTCCCCTCCCCGCTGGCACGCCATAGGATGGCCCCCAAGTCCTGGAGTGCTGCCCCGATGCCCTGCCTCTGGGTTGTGCAGAGCAGCCACCAGGCCCCACCCCTGCAGCACGCATACGGGGCCGCAAAAGCCCTGGCAGAAGCTGTGCTAATTGGCTGCTGGGACCCCCTCGCCCCCCCATGCGCAGAGCGGCCACCGGCCCTGCCCCCGCCTCCACTGTGCGTGCTGCCATCTTGTCAGTGTTACAGTGCAGGCCGAGGGGTGCAGCCTCAGGTCCCTCAATCCGGTTTTCGATCCCCCAGCCCCGGCATGAGGGTGTGAGGGCATGGGGTCAATTTGCATATTACCTCTTTATTATACAGGACTAG